AAATGGCCTACCATCCTTTAATCTGAACAATGAGCAGTAGATGAACATATCGTGAAAGCTGCCTGAGTGTCTGAAAATCACTGATACGAAAGCAAACGTTGCATACTGACTAGTAATTGATGAACTCTTCCTGTTCGAAAAGTGGGAGTGGCCTGCCAAGAAGAATCCCACCAATCAATCCACGTAACATGAAAAATACCCAATGAGCAACAGAATGCAAAATCACTAGTCTGAACATCGCTAACCTCCAGAGGAAGCTCAACGTAGATGTTGGCCTACATTATCAGGAGTTTGGTGCTTGCTATGTGCGAATATAGACAGTGATAACTAACAAATGTTTGTTAATTCACTTATGCTAGCCTAGAATGATCCCAAAAATGAATTCAATGCAGAGCAACCACACTGCTACAGGGCGAGCCATCCTTGCTGTGTATTGGTAAAATTGGCTAATCATCCAGTCATTACAAAGCTTCTTTAATTACCTCGCTGATAAACACAGGCTCCAGTAAATCCTTGGATACTGGTAATGTCAGGTAGGTGTCCTCCTCCTCATGTGCTGCCCAGCTTCTTCAGCATCCAAACACTTTCATTTCTCTGAATACTTTAGGTTCACAGTGAGATTCAGAAAGATGCACAACTGGCAAACCACTTTCTACAGGGTGGATTTGGCTTTTCAGGAGCTCACCTCCAAGTAGAAATTTAAAGGGACATCAGCAAAACTCCATTGCAATAGTCTCTGGACCGTTGCTTCAGAGTCAGACTGCAGAAAGCCAACACTCTCTTTCCACAATGAAGAATCAGATCAATATATGGAGAGTCGTATCGGACTCCAAATGCTAACTCTGTTTCTCTCTCCACAGGTGCTGCCAGACTTACTGAGTTTCACCAGCACTTTATCTCTGTTTCCATAGGATGCCCTTGTAGTCTTCCTGGCTTCAGGCAGGAGTGATGTCTCATTCAACATGGTAAAATTTTTAGGGCTGCAAATGCAGGGGATGAAACAAGTGTGGCTTAGGGAAGAAGTGGGGTGTGTGGGTGTGTCAATGGGTCTGAGACCAATTGCATAATTCTTCCAAAGGGCCATCTGGAATACAGTGGGCTGAATGGCCTCCAGCATTATATGAGATTTTTCGATTGTGATAAAACAACCCAGGAGAGCATCAGTGGGGAATTTAAACAACGGATTTTTTTCCCCATTTTCTGTCTATGCTTTTATTTGAATTAGAGATGGGAAGGAAAAGGACTGTATGCAGTTTTTCAATTAAGCAGGTAAATTCCTTCCAATTGACACTATTAGATGAACAGAGGTGGCATTGTATGGGCAGGGGCAGATTATGTGATGAAAAATGTCCAACTAAAGTTGGCAACACTCATGATCATAAATCTGTCCAACCCAGTCCCACCCTTCAATAGATTTCAAATATGTCAGTCTCTTGGCAGGTACAAAAAAACGCTGTCTTCTTGATCATGATTTCAGCTATGGCCCATCCTTCTCAGTACCTTTGTACCCAGAAGCACATTGCCATCATCATCCCTTGAAACCCTGATTAACCACTACCAACTTTTCACCACTTCTACTCTTCCCATTCACTGAAGAGATGCAGCAATTTCTTTACTTTTATTCTCATTGTCAATTTTGAATCTTCCATGCCCTTACCACCTCTGTAGTTTTATAAATCTCCACCAGCCTTATAATCATCAAATTTGTGCAATCCTCCAATTCTGGCATCTTGTGCATTGCCAATTTTCATTGTTCCACCATTAATGGCAGACATGCCTTCAGCTGCAAAGTACCTAAATCCCTCTAATGCCCTCTCTCCTCCTTTAAGAAGCTCTTTGGATCTAATTCTTTATCCAAACATTTCATTATCTGTCCTAATGGCTCCTTATGTGTCAAATTTTGCTTGATAACACACCTGTGAAATGCCTTAAGGAGGTTTTATGACATTAAAGGTACTATATAAATGCAAGTTTTTATTGTTGAAACACTACTTAAAAGGGTCACTGAGAGGAAACACACTTGGAGCCATCATCACATAACTTCTGCAGCAAACCAGCAGTGAGGGCACTTCATGTGAATTTCACTGTGTTATTTTTAGTTCTGTATTCTATTAATTTAGCAGCACACTGTGGGATCTGCTCCAGAAATGTTCACAGCATCAGTGGAATCAAGCAGCACAGTGTCCCTTTGGCATTCTTTCACTAGAAGCTATGGCAACTTCGTAGCTATTTCCATGATAATTTTTTAAAGATACAAGTAGAATGGAACATTCACAAGGGAGAATTTTGCTTAACCATGTGCGTCACTGCTGAAATTCACAGTAGCGATGAAGAAAATGGGAGGTATTAATTTGGTCATACTGTCTCACTCAGCTGGGTACAGTCAAATGTCGCAGCCTTCTAACGATTATTCTAGAACAGTCTGTTAGTTGATATGCATTTACCCAAGCAATATGAGGACTACGCTGTTGCAGACTAATTGCACTGAGCCATGTTTAAGCTCAATAAAAGGCGATTAATAAATACAGCATGATTCAGACCAGTGATTTTTTTTTTTGAAAAATCAGCCTCCATAAATATTCAACTAAAGTATTCAGTGATGAACGAAAGATACCTGTCAATAATTTGATGGCTTGTTTAATTTTTTTTAATGACCAAAGCATGTTGTATCATATTCCTCAGTTAAACCTTTATTTTAACATTTATTTGCCTGCTCTCTCCCAAAGGCAGTGATCAGAGAGCTGTGAATAAAGCTTCGATGTTATCAGTTCTGAGTCAGATGCATGCCCATGATGTTTGGTCTTGTAGCAAAATTAGAAACAGACATCAAAATGTGCTTGTCCATTCGGTTAAACAGACAATACGTCCATGTTCAGATCTGTCAATTCAGCAACTTTGTGAGTCACAATGTTAATTATAATCAGAACAAAACAGTCACAATTCATGGTCACTGTGGGGAAAGTTCAGCACATGTGCTTAGTCCTGTTTGTAGTGTGACTGCTTTCATTACAAGATGTGGCACTTATTCATTAATTCTGAAACAAGGTACAAATACTTCCACTTGACCATTTAAGAAAATGTTAACTTAATTATTTTCTGCACTGGTTAAAATTTTTCATTTTAACGTACAATGAAACCCAATACATCAAAACCTCTACTGCAGCCACATACCCTCCCTCTGATGAGCCACTCATCACCTACTCTATCCCAGCCACCACTACTCTACCATCCAGTACCCTGCCAATGAAAACCACTAACACAGACATCATTCTACTCCACTCAGCATCCATTCACCAATTGCATTTATCCATCTAGCTCCACCTGTTCTATGCAACTTGCCCATTTGGCCACCACTCTAACTTCTCCTACACTGCCCCACCCACCAATTTCAGCCCGTGTACAGCCCGTGTACACCTTTAACAACTTTACCCGACACACAGCACCAATTCTATATAATTGATCAGGCTGTCACTTCACAATTCTGTGTATAAATTCTTTTGACTGGGGCCTACAGTTGTAAGATATTACTGATGTCAGTTGAGCCAAGGCATAGTTATTTGTGCTTCCTTTCCTTGATTCCTCTCCAGTGCTACATCTTGCATCCATTCAGCATTTATCTTACTGTATCGAACAGTTTCCTACTCACATGCTACTTTCCTCAACCTGCTACTGCAATTTTCTTGGATTTTCAACCTCAATGTATGATTCAAGGTTATAGAGGACACCAGATACTGGAAGGAAAAACAGAAAATGGTGCAAATATTCAACAGGTCAGGCAGCATCTGTGTGCAAAGAAACAGCTAATATTTCAAGCCAATGAAGTTATTATCAGAACTGGAACAAGTAAAGAATGCTGCAAGCTTTAACAAGTTCAGAGGGAGGGAATTGGAGGAATGGAAAGAATAAAGGGAGCATCTACAGGAAGTAGGAGTGCACCGCAAGAAATTGTGGAAATGAGTCAACTAAAGGGACAGAAGATTGGTCGAGAGGACAAGCAAATAGGAAAGGCAGAACCATCTACATCCCTCTTCCTAGCATTAACACCCGCTTCAGTCTTGCACCCATCATTCGATATTTAATTTCTCCCACCTTTCCTATTATAGACCTTCTCTTTTGTTCTTCCTGTTCCTCTTCCCTTGTCTCTATTTAACCTGTCATATCTCTAACCCTTCCCAATTCTGGATTATTCATCAGAAACTGAAACATTAACCCTGTTTTTCTCTTCACAGATGCTGTCTGATCTGAATAGTTTCAACGTTCTCTGTTTCTAATTCGGATTTCCAGAATGTACAGAATTTTTATTTTAAATTTGTCCAAAAGGACCATTAAAGGATCTTTAGAAGAGTCAAGCACATATTCTAGAAGGGTTGTGGAGGGTGGGGTGCACAAGACCCCATGGGACAAGCAGGTTCCAGAGACACTACATCCACATGAATGGTCCTGTAGGATTCTGAAGCTCCAATGTTTCAGATACCTTCAGCTACCCAGGTATTTTACACTCAAACCCTCTCTACCTCAATCACTGGGAATGACAAGTTTGTCTTAAAAAGGCTGACCAGGTTAAGCTTTGGCTTATTGGAGTTTGGAAGAATGAGAGGTGAAAAATGAGATTCTGGGAGCTTGACAGTGTAGATAGTGAGAGAATGTTTCTCTTCTTGGGATATCTAGAATCAAGGGGCATAGTGATTCTCCCACTTAAGGCAGGGATAATGAGGAATTTCCTCTTTCAGACTGCCACAAATTACTGGAATTCTCCAACTGAGAGCAGTGGCAACTCGGTCATTGAATACATACATTGTTGAGTTAGGTAATTTTTTGATCAACAAGAAAGTCAAGGGTTATGGGAAAACTGGAGTGCAGTTAAGGGCATAATCAGATTAGTCATAATTTTATAAGTGGACCATGCCTGAGGGGCAGAATGGCCTACTCATCTTCCTATTTCTCAGAGTTCCTTCTCTTGCTCTTTAAAGCTGAACACATTTCACAAAGCAATTACTCACCTGTCTAGCTTGATGTTTGCTAACTTCCTGAAAGTCCTTGGGATGTTGGATTGCATCAAAGACGCTTTATAAATGCAAGCCATTGAACATAACCTGGGTCACAGAGAGGACTCAAAACCAGGAACAGTAAGTGTCTTGCTTGTCCCAATATCACCAGCTCAGAACTGATGAAAAATCCACTGTTGTTAGCTGTTTGCCAGGTACTGCTGGTAGAGCAGAGCCTGAGGAAAAAGGAAAAATATTCATTTTGTACCACTTTCCAAGAGCAGAAATAAGTCACCAAAGATATTGGCAAAACATCAACCAAGATTACAAAGTGGAATTGTTGATTAAAGACATATGTAGGATGATTTTGCTGGCTATGTACAGAAATAACTATATGTAGTGGACAGGTACAAATAAAAGGCAAATGTTTTGATGGCATTTATCTTAAAGGAAGAGTATAAAGGGTTGGTGAAGAAGACAAATGCTTCAGTGGCCTTCATAGTGACAGGATTCGAGTACAGGAGCAGGGGTGCCTCGCTGAAACTGTCCAGGGCCTTGGTGACACTACATAGTCAGAGTCATACAGCACAGAGACAGACCTTTTGACCCACATGTCCAGGCTGACCATGTTTCCCAACCTAAACCAGTCCCATTTGCCTGTGTTTAGTCCATATTCCTCTAAACCTTTTCTATTGATGCCCCTGTCCGAATATCTTTTAAATGTAATTGTACCTGCCTCTACTAATTGCACTAGCAGCTCATTCCATACACGCACCACCCTCTGTGTGAAAAAGTTGCCCCTCAGGTACCTTTTAAATCTTTTCCCTCTCACCTTAAACCTATGTTCTTTAGTTTTAGAGTCCCCTACCCTGGGGAAATCTGGGGCAGTTTTGGCTGTCTTATTTGAGGAAGGATGTTCTGGCTATGGAAGGAGTGCAATGAAGATTTATCAGAATGATTCCTGGGATGGCAGGACTGTCTGAAGAGATACTGGATTGGTTGGGACTATATTCACTGGTGTTTAGAAGAATGAGGTTGGATCTCATAAAAACCTATAAAATTCTAACAGGGCTAGAAAGGGTAAATGTAGGAAAGATATTCCTCATGCATTAGGAATCGAGAACTAGTGGTTACAGTTTAAGGAGATGGGAAAGGCCATTTAGGACTGAAATGAGGAAAAATTTCTTCACCCAGAAAATAATGAGGCCATGGAATTGTCTGTCACAGAGAGCGTTTGAGGCCAAAACATTGAATGCCTTCAAGAATGAGTTAGATATAGTTCTTAGGGCTGAAGGGATCAAAGGGTATAAGGAGAACTCAGGAACAGGGTACTAAGTTGGATGATCAGCCATGATCATATTGAATGACATCGCAGGCTCAAACAGCCAAATAGCTGACTCCTACTCCTATTTTCTATGCTTTGTAAAATTCTCCTTACATACTAATTTACAGTACCAGATCTCGCTTATGGGTACTTCAAGGACACTATAGCACACAGAAATTCACTGGAATGATACCAAGGCTAAACCATTAAAATGACAGTTTATATGGATTAGGTTTGCGTTTAATTGGCTACAGGAGCTAATGAGGCAACCTAATTTGTGTTTAAGATGAATAAATGAATTTATTTGGTAAATAGAGGAAACCTAATTTCTCTGGGTGGTGGAGGAGTAAGGAGACATAATCTTAAAATTACAGCCAGATTGTGTTAGGGTGGTATCAAAAAGCATTTTTGCAACCAATCTTCTTGTATACATTTACTATGCCTTACACCTCACATGAAATACATGGCACCAGAGAAATTGTGCTGATATGAATAAATTTATCTATTCTGTGAATGACAATGTACTAGAGAAGCACTTTGCATTATAGTTAAGGCACTAAGTTGGATCAGGGGAATGATTTCAGTCAGAATTAGGGACTAGAGAAAAGGATTTAATAGGAAGGTTACAGAATGAGAAGGAATGGTTTCAAAGGAACCTATGGGATGAGAGTTAGAGTTAGCTAACTCTCATAAGTTTGCTCATGAAATGAGCTTCAATCGAAAGTATGTCTAATAGAGGGGTGGAACACAACAGAGTTGGTGTACTAGATAGATGGCATAAGTAGACTTGTTAAGGTATGGGAGTTTCAGAAACCACAAGGAAGATAAGAGGTTAAAGTCCTATGACAGGATGCAAATTTTCAGCATGTCACAAGAATAGATATTTGTGATTATTCTCAATGTTGTTATCTTCTTTTATGTTTCTTTTTCCTCTTCTTTTTGTGAAGGTGACCTCAAAATAACTGCTTTCTTGGCATTGTCCAGAGTGGAGTGCAGTCACTGGGCTTATGGGAAGGTGCTGCAGCTGGTGTTGTGAATCAGGCCGTCCATGTTCAAGTACCCGGCTACTTCACAACACCAGGGTTGCACCCAACTACTGGCGACATCTGGCTTGGAATAATAAATATTTATATCAGCTCATCTGAAAGCAAGTAAGGAAATTCAAAGTTATCATTCTTCATTAACTTAGTATGCATTTTTAAATATTGCCTTTCATGCTTCCAAACTCATTAAATGTAATTCTTTAGTGAAAGGAGCAACATGGAATTATTGTCACTAATTTAAAATTCAACTTAGAAAGCAATGACAATATCTTGAGAGCTAAAAATGTTCCTTCCACCAAACTGCTCTCACTAGTTTTTCTTGTTAGGTTGACACTTCTGTAAAAAGTTTTGGGAGCTAAGCAATCATGTTATAAATTCTAATTAGTTAAAATAAAAATAGTCATTGGTGGTTTATAGTGCAATCCAAGTGGAGTATGGCTGAGATTCCAATTCACAGCATAAGGATTGCTGGGACTTCTGTCTTAAAATCTTTTGTAAAATACATTTTTAAAAAATTGTGAAATGTTCGGACAGCCATTCATGTTAACTGGGATGGGAATTGAGGATAAGGGGATGGCTCAGTGCTGTTTTCCTTGAGTCATGAGCTAGTGGGTTCAGGTTTTATATCTTGGGCAATCTACACTGACAGTCCCAGTCCTGAGAAAACTGCACTTTTGAAGTGCTGCCTTTGGATAAGACTTTAAACCGAGGCCCTGTCAAATGGCAGTAAAACATTCTGTGGTACTATCTTTTGAAGGGAAGGGAGTTCTCCCATTTGTCCTTCACCAACACCTAAACATAGATTATCTGGTCAACATCACATTGCTATTTGTGGGGGCTCGCTGTGGACAAATTGGCTGCCATGTCCTTACATTGCAACAGTGGCTACACATCATAAGATTTTTTTTGTCAATGCAGTGCTTTGGGATATCCTGAGGTCCTATGGGGGGAAAAAATACCTTTCTTTAATTAGGAGTGAGTTCAGTTTCAGATGCAAAAGCAAATAGGAAAATGCAAGAAAGTAATTTTAATGAGAGAAATGGAATGGAGAAGTGTGGATCTAGAAGGTGAATGTTAAGGACGAACAGGTTATCATGTAACAAATATTCTCAGGGGAACATGTGAGCAAAGACCAACCCAGACCCCTGTGGTTTCACATACAGAGAATACTAACCTCTTAGACAATGAACGATAAAGATTATATCAATTCTTTGATTGACAAAGTGTGAGCAACATACACAGATTACCTCTCAGAAGGATGCTTGTCATCTCCATATCCACTTTCTACAAGACCTATTTAGTTAGTCCCACTCCCTTTCCCTCAATTTTTTCTCTTTGGATAATTATCTAATTTCCTTTTGAAAGCCATGATTGAAAGTAGCTCCATTGCACTCACACACAGCACAGACCAGATTTGAACAATCCACTGTGTAAAAAAAAGTTTCTCCTTCTCACAATCATCTTAAACTGGTGTGCTTTGGTTCTCAGGCTTCCTGTCAATGGTCAGGTTCTCTCTATCTACTCCTCTATCTCGACCCATACTGATTTAGAAATTTGCATAATATGATTTACTTTTAACAGACTTTTGCAATGGCCTAGCCATTTATTTCAAGGGCAATAAGGATGGATGTGTTACCAACTATACCCACATTACATGAAAGAACAAAAGAATCCCTTCTCTGAGGAAAACAGCCTGCACTTCTTCAATGTATGTACATAACTAAAGTTCAGCATTGCTGGGATTTTTCTGAATCTTCTCTGCACCTTGATTTTGTTTCTTTCAGGATGTCCATAATTGGACACAATACTCCAGTTAAGGCAAAACTGCATTTCAATATGTCCATGCCTTTAAACTTCTATGAAGGGAAGTCATATATTTGAAGAGTAGTTTGCTTTACAGCACTCTCTACTGGACAGGTGTGAATAAAGTTGTCAATAATGACTGCCTGCAGCTTAACATGTGTTAATCTTACTCTATGCAATACACAACTTAATTGATAAATGATTATCCGATAAATCAAATACATCTTTCCATTGGAAAGTAGTCTCAAGTTTATCATGGCCAATTGTTCCTGTAGAATAAACTTGCATTGGTGATTTATCACATGCACATTAGTTCACCAAATCTCCAGGAATGGACGATTAATCGGCAGGACATTACTGTTAGCAAACTGGGAAGAAGAATCATGAATCTAGTTCTGGAGAAGAGTTATTTGACTGAATGCTAACTGTTTTCTCTCCACAGATGCTGCCAGGCCTGCTGAGATCCTCCAGCAATTTCTGTTTTTTGTTTGTTTTAGATCTCCAGCATCCACAGGCCTTTCTTTTATCATTAATCCGGCGGCAGTCTGCTGGTTCCTCATTGACTGTGCACAGTTTACGGCTACCACACTACTCATCCCATCTCCAAATTCGGTTTATATCTTGATATCCCTTTTACTGTTTTTTATAATCCATCTCTATCCACAATAAGGGGCATGATAACACCTACTCTCCGCACGGCTCCACCACACCCCCGCCCACTCACGCCAACGGCCGTCCCGGCCCCGCCCACTAATGACGGGTCCCGTTCCACCCCTGCGCATTCACGGCGAAGCATCTTCCGGTTCCACCCATTCCGGGACACGCCCCCTTCATGGAGGTGCCTCTACCTTTCGGCAACGTCCCCAGCTATTTGCCCTGCCTCCATCCACGCATGACCGCGCTTTTTCCGGTCCCGTCCATCTTTGGCCCCTTTCTTGCCCCACACTCACCCCTCAGCGCGTTCCGCTCTCGGACTCACGCATGAGGCCACGCCCCCTCACCCCGCCCCGGCCCGGGCCCCGCCCGTCGCCTGCACGCGGTCTGTGTTTTCCTC